CTGCTCACACTCTCTCTCAAAAATAAATAAACATTAAAAAAAAAGAAATACATTTTTAAGGCTACAATATTTCCTACAAGTAAAACTAAAACTAGTTTCTTAAAATAATTTTTTAAATCTAATTTATTTATTTTGAGGGGGGAGAGGCAGAGAGAGAGCACGAGAGAATCCCAAACAGGCTCCACACTGTCAGCACAGAGCCTGATGCAGAGCTGGATCCCACAAACCATGAAATCATGACCTGAGCTGAAATCAAGAGTCAGATGTTTAACCAACTGGGCTACTCATGTGGCCCTCAGAAATAATTCTTTTTTTTTAAAGTTTATTTATGTATTTTGAATGAGAGAGACAGAGAGAGAGAGAGAGCAAGTGGAGGAGGGCCAGAGAGAGAGGGAGAGAGAGATAATACCAAGCATGCTCCACACTGCTAGCACAGAGCCTAATGTGGGGCTTGAACCCACAAACCATGAGATCATGACCTGAGTTGAAGTCGGATACTAAACCGACTGAGCCATCCAGACACCCCTCAAAATAATTATTAATGCTACTGGATGATGGACTATGATGTTTTTTGTTCTTTTTTTTTTTTTAGTTTTAAGTTTAGTTTGAGAGAGAGAAAGGGAGCCCAAGCAAGCAGGGGAGGGGTAGAGAGAGAGGGAGGGGCAGATAGAGAGGGAGACAAACCCAGGCAGGCTCTGCGATGTCAGCCTGCAGCTCAACACAGGGCTTGGTCTCAAAAAACGTGAGATCACGACCTAAGCTGAAATCAAATCTGATGCTTAAACGACTGAGTCACTTAGGCACTCCCTAATTTGTTTTTTAAAATAGATTGTTGTGAGCCACAAAACTGATTTCAATAGCCATAATGGGTGGCTATTATCACCGTGAAGAAGACTGGGTTGTCAGGTCTTTAAAATTTCTTTCTGTTCTTTCATAAAATTTAAAGCATCTACATTGAAAATATACAAAAATATTAAAAACACCCTCAATCTTACTGAGTCTCCCTGATACCCTCCTTAGCTTGTTATCAGTTACAAAAGTTAAATATTCTGTATTTCCATATAACAGTCTTAGAGAAAAAGGCCCAAGCCAGTTATATAGCAGGGGGTAGCCTTGGTTCTGAACATCTCTGAACACCAGTACCCTCATCTGCCATTATCCCTACCACTCTTATACCGTTCTATTTTAAGGCCCTGTACTTTTCCTTTTTAATGTTTTTGTCCATCAAATTCAGGTGATATTCATCCTGTTATTTTACTTTATTTTTCACACTTAATAATACAGCACACACATATGTACTTAGATATATACATATATATGTATATATATATGTATATGTGTGTGTGCATATATATATATATATATATATATATATATGGCCTCAGTGTACATTAGATTTACGAGGAAAACGTGTTAAAAAATGAAGATTCTGGGGGCGCCTGGGTGGCTCAGTCAATTAAGTGTCGGATTCTTGATTTTGGCTCAGGTCATGATCTCATGGTTTGTGAGATCTAACCCTGCATCAAGCTCAGCACTGATAGCATGGAACCTGCTTAAGATTCTCTTTCTCCCTCTTTGCCCTCCCCTGCTCACACACTTACATGGTCTCTCTCTCAAAATAAATAAAACTCAAAAACAAATGGAGATTGTGGCATGCCCATCTGTGAGTCTGGAGAATAGAAGCCAGATGTTCTACATTAAAAAGCTTAAAAATCTCCCTTGTGCTGACAGTGTGGAGCCTGTTTGGGATTCTCTCGTGCTCTCTCTCTGCCTCTCCCCCCTCAAAATAAATGCCTGGGTGGCTTAGTCGCCTGAGCATCCAACTTCAGCTCAGGTCACATGATCTCAGTTTGTGAGTTCCAGCCCCGCACTGGGCTTTGGATCTTCTGTTCCCCTCTCTCTCTGCCCCTCCCCCACTCTCTCCTTCTTAAAAATAAATAAATAAATAAATAAATAAATAAATAAATAAATAAATAAAATATTAAAAAAGTGCTCCCCTCTCAAGGTGTTTTTATGCAGGTGGTGGCCTCACTCTGAAAAACAGTAGGGCATACATTCTTAAAATAATATCAGATGTTATGAATATGATCCTTCCTTACTCATTGGATGGTAACAACAACAACAAAAAGTCAAAGACAGTTGTGGTTTTGAGTCTAGGCAGCTAGGTGAGGACAGATAGTAGCAAAAAATAAAGACTAGGGTGAAAAAGGAAGATTTTTCTGATTTATTCATTTTTTTAAACTGATTTATTCATTTCATATTATGAAAAGAATAGTTTTTCCTAAACCTGGGTGAAACTGCCCTACTGGACAGAAAGTTTTACACTGAGACAAAACAATATTTAATTACAAACTGCTAAGTGGAAACACCAACAGGTTTACCTAAAAAGTAATTCACAAAACTACAAGCTTGTAGAGCAGAGGCCACATTATTAACCGCAAGGAAAACCTTACAATTCAAGGTATAAGGCAAAAGTCATAATGATTATCAGGTTCAGGAGTTTGGAAGTGCTTATGATGCCTCATTTGCTGGTCCTTAGTTTTTCTCCTGATTTCCATCATCTGCCCTAGGAACTTTTCCACATCATCTCCCACTTCATTATGATCAATATGCCTGTTGGGTATGGCCCATCGAAAATTAGGGACAAGTCGTCTCATTCGCCCCAGCCTGACATTTCGTCCATGCTTCTGGCCTTCACCTCCTCTCGAATTGTGTGCTTCCTCACCATTCTGTAGGAGGCCTTGTTCTTCTCCGTTTTCCTGCTGGGCATTTTCCATGTTGAGATTTTTCACCGTTTGTTTCTCTTTGGACGCCATTGCTCCTAGGAGATAAGAGACCAGAAAAAGGACTATTTTCTTGGGAGGAGCAGCACCGAGGACAGAGGCCCTTACTACGCCTGTTCCAAAATTCAGAGCCTTGGATACCAAAGGCTTTTTAAAATTTTACTTTCCCACCATAGAGGCTCCCTACGCTTTCTGGCAGGTCCCCAGTCTGAGCCTTACCCCCTTCCGGTCGCTCCTCTCCCAAAGCCCACCCTTCTCCCAGCCGATCCGTCTCCATGCCTCTGCAGGCACCAAGGTGGAGAGGGGCTGGTTGGTGGGAGGAATTTGGGGTCTCCGGGCTTTCCACACGTTACCCCCACCCGCCTCCCCACTGTCCCCCGCAACGACCTGGGCCTATCCTTGCAGTCTCCTCCTCCCGATTCTCACCCCCTCCTGAGCCGACAGGACACCTACACCCGCACACCTGCAGAGGGCAGGGGTGGGGAAGCGGGGACTGCTGCAACTCAGTGCTCGGCGCCAACCCGACGCCACCCAGCCTCTCCTGGGCCCCCCGAGACCCCACGGCCGTCCCACCCCCACCCCCACCCCCGGACGCCCCATCCCCCGCGCTGACTACCATTTTCTACACGAAGAAGGACGGGGGCGGGGCCTGAGTGCGAGAGGCAGGTGTTTGCGAAGGGTCATCGCCTCATGGCGGTCCAACCCTCTGCCCTACCATTTTCTGCGGCCAAACGCGGGCCACAGCTTGGCGTGAGGGCTGCGGTTCTTTCGCAGTTCCGCCCCCGGGCAGCTGGGACCCGAGGAGGTCTCCGTGGGCCGCGTGGGCTCTCGCACCCTGGCCCAGGGGACTCTCCCCCCTCCTCCAGGTCCCTTACCTGCTCCCCCTCCAATTCCTACTCTTTGGGGCTTCCCCTGGCCCCCACGCTCTCAGGGCCACGAGGAGCAGGTACCGAGAAGGGAGCGAGCGCCGGCCCAGTCTGACGCTAGAGCTAGGCGCTCGAGTCACCATTGGCAGGTCATGTGAGGCCTTCGTCACCGTGAGCGGCACCGCCCCCATCCCGTGCCCGCTGCTGCCCGCGGGGTGGTGCAGAACTGGTTGGCCTGCGCACCTCCTCTCTGCTGCATCGTCCTTCTGAGCAGCACCAGGCTGGACTCTATGACTCTCCCCTCTTTGTATATTCCTTGGCTTTTCTCTGCCTGCCGGGGAAGGGCAGTATCTTCTTAGAGGCCTGTTGGCCATTTCCTGTCCTCCTCTGGGAACTTGCTTCTTCCTCTCCTTTGCTCCCAGGTTACATCCCTCCCCGCGTCGGGTTTAGTCGCAAAAGTTAAGGGGGTGCAGAAAACTTGAATAGTGAAGATAATCACATTTTAATTCAATATCTTAAAAAACAAAATTTATGCAAGAACATCTATGAGCAAGATGTCGCACCTACCCTGCTCTCAACCTGTGGTCTTCCTTGCTACCAATGCCCACCATTTTCTCTATACCAAAATGTTGGGGGTGGGGGTCAGGAAAGGAGGTGTAATTTTTTCTAATTCTTCTTAATACTCTTTTGTTCCCTTTTCGACTAGAATGTCATTCTCTTTATAGTTTACCTTAACTTTATTCTAACTTTTGTTATGAAAAAAATTAAAACATATGCAAAAATAAAATAGTAGAATGAAAGCCACTGTACTCATCACATAGCTCCAACGGTTAACTCATTGCCAATGTTACTTCATGTGTATCCTTACCCACTTCCTACTCTTAGAAATTATTTTTGAAACAAATGTCGGTCATAATATCATTTTGTGCATAAGTATTTCAAAGTACATATCTATAAGGACTCTCATATGTATTTATGTATTTATAAAATTTATGTATAACATATCATATGTATATTTATACCACAATACCATTTTCCCACCTAACAATTAATAATTCCTGAATACTGTTTTATGTCCAATCCGTGTTCAAGTTTTCAATTCTGTTATCGGTTTTTAACAGTTTGTTTTGACTAGGGTCCAAATAAGACTGAATGCTGCTTTCGAGATACTCTTTTTGTCTTTGGCTTTGACAGTTTGACTATATTGTATCTTGGTGAGTGTATTCTGTAAGTTCATGTCTGATATTGAACCTTTTAATTAAATTTTTAATTTCAGCTACTGTAATTTTCAGCTCCAGAATTTTTGTTAGTTCCTTTTAATAATTTCTTCCTGTTTATTCATGTTCCCCATTTGGCAAGACATTAATTTCCTGGTTTATTTTAGTTCTTTTTCTGCGGTTTCCTTTAGCTCTTTGAGCATATTAAATTCAGTGACTTAAAGCCTTTCCCTAGTAAGTCCGGCTTCCTCAGAGTCAGTTTTTACTAATTTCATTTTTGTTGTGAATAAGCCATACTTTCTTTGCACATTTCATATTTTTCTGTTGTTGCTGAAACTTGACATTTTGCATAGTATAATATGGCACCTCTGGAAATCATATTCTCCCTCAGGATTTGTTGTTGTTGGCTGTTGTGGATTGTTGTTTGTTTGTTTAGTGACTTTTCTAAATTGATTTTGTAAAGTCTGTAGTCTTTATCATGTCTGCCACTGAAACCTGTGTTGCCTTAACTTAGTGATCAGCTGGTATTTTGACAGTTACTTTAAATACCTGGAGCCAGTAAAAGAAAAAAAAAAAGAAACACTCCCAGTATTTGCAGATTGGTCTGTGCTGGTGAACTCGTTCACTGCTTAGGCAGACCATTTTCAACTCTGTATTAATTTTCACTTTCTTCTTGCACAGAGTCTGAAGGCTAGCTGGAGGTGAAAGGCCTCCTCAGGTCTTTGAAACAGTTGCATTCCATCCTGGGCATATGTGTGGTCTTCTCAGTCTCCCTGTATATTGGGGAACTTTTAAAAGCCCTTATTTTCCCATGTATTTCCTTTCCTAGCCTCTTCCTCCCAGTTTTCTCATTCTATTTATTTTTTGACCTTGGTACTGTCCTTTACCCCAGGCTGCTGTGTCTAATATCCAAGCCTTTAAATGCTTTTGACAAAAGTCACTCTACTCCTGGGAAGGCTCTGAGGCAAAATAAAGGGAAACCTTAGTGTCTTCTGTGAGGAGGACCAGCGAGATGGTCAAGACCCACAGATACAATTGAATAAGGTCCCTAATGTTCCTTCTGGTACTAGCAAACTTCACTAGCTGATCTGGAGTATTTAGGATGATAGTCTGGTAATTTAAAATGTCATGGCACTCTCTTACTACAATGCAGGAGCTTTTATCTTAAACTAGTTTTCCCCTGGTTGTTTTAAGTTTTTATTAGATTCCAGAGTCCTGCAAAAGTTGATACTGACCATTTTTGACATGGAATCTTTGAGTTCCCTACTCTACCATTTTTGGTGATGTCTTTATATTTTTCAGTTCTCTACAACATAATGGCAGCATACAATTATTTTTAAAAACTACCTTCTTTAAAAGAACAGTACAATATTATGCTTGCTTCTTCTCACAAATTTTAAAATAGAGTACTTAATTAATTATACTGTTTGGTACTTTGCCACAAATAATATTTGATGTGTTTGACATGATTTTAAAACATTCTTTTGTTTAGTTGTTCTCTGGCATGTAGCTGTGGAAACTTCATATTTCTAAATATGTTGAAAAGTTATATACAAGTTTAAAAATGATAGATGAACATCAAAACATAAGTTTTGTTATTGTGAGTAGTAACTATTTGGGTATTGTTTGAGTGCTTCTAAAAACAATAAATAATGCAATTGAAAAAATCATGTTTGTTTAAAATAAATTTTCTTAAGTTTAAAAGGTTACTAGTAAACTTTTTTTTTTCCCCTTTTACCTCATGCTTTTACCATGTCTGCCAAGAGGAAACATTTCCTCCCTTAAGTCTCTTAAAAATAACCAGGAAAAAAATCAGTGAAAAAGTTAGTATATATCTTTCAAAATTCTTCCCTCTCCCCGAACAGACAAGGCATGGGCTATAAGACAAACAACCTAAACTTGAGTCCACAACTCTGCCACTGTTTCTGTGTATCTAAACAAGTCATTTAACTTCTCCCAAGTCTACTTTACTAGATTTAACCAAATTGACTAAATTTAACAGTGTTTGAACAGATTGCATGGGATAATGTACATAAAGATGCTTGTAAATTATAAGGCATATTCACATATGTTACTATTAATAACTATCATCTTCCTGAAACACGCACACATGCACACACAATGAGGTGGGTCTGTTAGCCAGGAGCCAAAAGATTTGGCAACTTGGGCAAAAATGACAAGGTGGAAAATAGTAATGTAATCCATGAACTAAGAAGCATGGAAATATTTATTAACAGAGAAATACTATTAATAGGAAAATCAAGAATTATGGTGCGTTACCATAATAAGAACACTATGCACAGTTAAAATGAATGACCTACATATCCATATAGCAATGAGTGAAAGCCTTAAACATGATAAACCTGAGAGAAACAGGTTGAAAACACAATTCTTTGCCAATGTGTTTGACAGTGTAAAAACTGTCAAAATGTTTACATGTCTAAAAGTAATTCTATATATATTTTAATATTTTTATATTTTATATGATATACTTTATATTTTTCAAATATATTTTACATACTTAAATTTAGGTATATACATATATAGGCAAAGTATAGAAACATATGTGTAAAGATATATACCAACTTAAGAGTGTGGTTACCTCTGGGGAGAGAATGGGGTAAAATGGAGATGGAGGCTAACTCAGCTATATTAAAATCATGTGATTGTTTAAAAATTCAATGTAATAGTCTTCATATATTTCAGAGCATGAGGTAACTGTATTTTTATTATTTTTTAATATTTACTTATTTTTGAGAGAGAGACAGAGGGTGAGTGCAGGAGGGGCAGAGAGATTGGGAGACACAGAATCAGAAGCAGGCTCCAGGCTCTGAGCTGTCAGCACAGAGCCCGACGTGGGGCTCGAACCCACGAACCGTGAGATCATGACCTGAGCTGAAGTTGGACCTTTAACTGACTGATCCACCCAGGCGCCCCAGTAACTATATTT